CGCTCCCGCGCTCGTCAGGCCCCTCCCGCACGTCGGGCTACTGACCACTGGGAAGGCTTTGCTCCCGCTGGTCCGGCCTCCCAACGCCTGGGCCAAGCCGGCCGCACGCAGCGCGCAATGCTGTTTGCTGCAAGTTGCAGTTCCTTAAGCCACTTCCACTGAAGCCACTCCAACGGTCCAAATAATTTATAGAAACATGATTATGTTTATAGAAAGATAGCGACGAGGTTGAGTAAGTCATAGGACAGCCATACATCTGAACACAGGTGTTGGCCTGCAGGGATGGGTGATACACTGTTCAGGAAGAGCAACATGCACATTAGTTTTAATAATATCCGGTTTAACTAAATAAGCCCTATAATATGTGTATGCTTGTAGGAAGTAGAAGATGGGTAAACGAACTGCAGTTGCCTCCAGGTGGAATTAGTGGGGAAGATGCGTATTTTGTTTTAGCATTATGGATTTTCATTAAATCACTTATAACTAAAAAGAAACAAGTAGGAAATATTCGTACTTAATTACGTTTCACTGTCCCCACAACTTTTCCAGTGTTTGGGGGGTCATTACAGTTTAGTTGTGGACAGTGGTGGGTTGAGGGTTTCCTGTGGCCAGTTCATCTGTCCCACACCCTAGCTCTGTGCATTAAAGAGCTGCCTGTGGGGAGGGGAGGGAGCCCACAGGAAACCTGGGGCTGATTAGAGTCTGCAATGGGAGCTCCTCGTTCTTGGGAGTGGGTGTCAGAGCAAAGGCCTCAGGTTGCAGTCTCGCTGCTTGCACCAGCCTGGAGCGCACAGAGGAAGGAACGAACAGCATGAAGCTGCCCTCTCGGCGTACAGCACTCTCTTCCCAAGGAGGAGCCAGCGTCTGCAGAGGAGCCCGCTCACAGGAAGGGCTCTGTCCTGGGCACTGTGGTGCCAGTGCAGCTCTTCGGGGCTAACGCCTGTGGACACGGGAACTGGACGGAATGCTTTGCTGGAACTTGGCTTCAGTCAGGTCATTCCACAGGCTCAGATGCCCCCGCTGCTTTGCATTCATCTACTGGACTAGCAGTCAGACCTACTACTTGTCAGCTTATTACTCACCACCTCCGAGACCTCAAGCAAGTCCTGTGAACCTCTGAGCCTTATTTGTAAAATGTGGACAGTAATACCTTCCTCACAAGGTTGTCAGAACAAATTTAAATGAGAAAATACACATTTTGCAGTGCTTGGCACACACTGGGTAAGCAATAAGTGTTGTCTTTTATAAATATACTAGAGGCCCAATGCATGAAATTCGTGCAAGAGTAGGCCCTGGCAGCCCCGGCTTTGTCCAGGTCATTCTGCTGTTCAGCCGTTCGGTCGATTTGCATATTACGCTTTTATTATTATAGATTGCTTAAAAATAATAAAATTCCAATGACTAAGCTTGTAGAGGAGAAATAAATCAAGGGATTTCTCCATTAACAGTTCAGTGACATTTTCCGTTTAAAAATTCAGCCCTGGCCCAGCTGATGTGGCTGTGGTTGAGCGTTGACCTATGTACCAGGAGGTCACAGTTCGATTCCTGGTCAGAGCACATGCCTGGGTTGCAGGCTCAATCCCCAATGGGGGCGTGCAAGAGGCAGCTGGTCAATGATTCTCTCTCATCACTGATTTTTCTATCTTTCTCTCCCTTCTTCTCTGAAACCAATAAAAATTACTTAAAAAAATCCAGCTTTGACCAGCCTGGCTCAGTGGTTGGTGTGTTGGCCTGCATACCATAGGGTCAAGGGTTTGATTCCCCCATCAGGGGCAGTCAGGGGCAAGTACCTGGGTTGCAGGTTAATCCTTCCCCTTGGGGTGTGTGCGGGAGCCAACCAATGGATGTCTCTCTCACATGGATGTTTTCCTCTCTATCCCCTCCTCTCCCTTCCAATCTCTCTGAAAGATCAATGGAGAAAACATTTCTTACTCCTTGGGTGAGGATAGAAAGATAAATTGCCCAGCCGCCATGGCTCAGTGGTTGAGTGTCCACCTATGAACCTGGAGGTCATGAATCGATTTCCGGTCAGGGCACATGCCTGCTTTGCGGGCTCCATCCCCAGAGTGGGGCGTGCAGGAAGCAGGTGATCAATGATTCTCTCTCACCATTGATGTTTCTCTCTCTCCCTCTCTTCTGAAATCAATAAAAATATATTTTAAAAAAGTAAATGAAATAAAAATCCAAAAGCCCCTTTATAGAGGAAGCATCCCTTTTTTCTACCTATTCTCATCCTACCTTTGGGGCTGAGTTTCTTGCATTTCAGTGCCCGGGGCAGAAGCAAGCAGAGAACTGACTTGTACTAGGTCAACATTAAATTTATTAATTCAAGAATGTCAGTGAAAATTATTTTGAAATAATTCTCTTACCTAATTTAGTGAATATTAAGCAATCTATTTTTTTAAATATATATTTTATTGATTTTTACAG